TCTGCACATGTTTGTGGGAGCGCAGTGGCCTACATTTTTGTGCAGTGAGTTGTATGCTGCCTGTTGAATGTGATTTTTTTTTTTCCCCATTAGTATTTGTGGGATGAAAAGAATCGTTAGCAAGTGCTAAAATATTTCCCCCCCCTGCAAAAGTACTTGATTTAACCTAGTTCAGTAAAGGCTTTGTAGGGGGGTAGGTAGTCTTGTCCTGCACAGTTTGGCAGGATTAAATTGTCACTGGTGACTTGTTGACAAATGTTGAATGGAAGTGGTCTTCGTTGCTCAGTGGATGGATATTTACCTCACCACCCAAGCAGTCTGTGATGGAACTTCCTGGATAAGAATCAGGTGGGATGTAAAGGCAGTTACACGTAATGCTTCTCTGGAGGTGAGAGCAGAGCTTTCACTGAGCATGTTTAATGCTGTATTTGCCTGAGCTGTACTGATCTGGTACGTAGATGTCAGGTTTTTTTACTGCTTCTGGCCAATACCATAGCTTTTTCTGAATATTAGTTTTGCTTTAAGGCAGGGAGGAAAAAAATTCAGTTGTAGTTCTTGCTTCGTGGGTTGGTGTGGCATCCCTGGCTTGACATTTGAAGTCTTTCAAAGTTTAATCTTACACTTGAGACTGATAATCCAATTTACTAAATTCAGTTCTCATGAGAGCCATAACACTAAAATTGGACTGTGGATACAGTGCTTAGTTATTGATAACTGAATAATTCAGGACAGGGAAGACTTTCCTGATCAGCCACAGTAACTGTGTTCCTCACAGTCGCTGTGATGTGAGGTGACATAAGGAATCTGGAATACCTTTGAAAGAAGTGACTTGGATGTTGCTTTCAAGTGTTTGTGCTGGACTTGCTTGCAGTTTTTGTGGGCTCTTAAATAATGGAGATGTATCAAAAATTACTTTCTCAAGTGAATGCTGGGGCTTTGAGATGGTCTGTCCTGCATCTCCTGCACCACGCCTCAAGTGAGTGGATCAGTTTATGGATCGTAGGTGGTGACTGATCTGTCCCGCCTAGGCAGGGTGGCTTTTTTTTCTGTGGCATTTTGGGGTGAGGGGGAGAGAGCAGATGTTTGCTCTTCTTTTGAGTAATGGGATCAGAAAATAAGCAAAACTGCCTGTACTTTGGACAAAAATGGGTTTCTATCAGACTGTCCTTGAGTCTTGTTCTTACTGACAAAACAGCATCTTGCTTGGTTCTTAACCCTCCCCTGTTCTCCTCGGCAGTCTCATGTGCAGTACAACATGTGTTTGCAGCACTTACTGATTCCCTCTTCATATATGTGCTGTTCTTCTTGTAACCTGCCACAGGTACTGTCTGAACCTGTATTTTCTGGGAATGCTGTGAAGAGGAAAGGCTGTGGCTTGGTAAGCCTGTAGCATGCTGTCTTAGGAAAGTGGAAGGATATCCTGAGACTCATTGAGGGTCACCAGGCTGTACACTTAAAATCTCTCTCTATTATCAGGCTCTAACTTCTCATTTCTGTGGGGACAAAGGGGTCTTGAGGTTTGCATTTCTTTATCCCCTTCCAGGGTTCTTTTTCATGTCATCTTCAAATAGATTTAGGGCTTTGCAATTAACTCCTGTGTTTAGGAAAATCACCCATGACTTGAAACTGTTTCCCTGCTTCCTACAGAGCTCTGGAGAAACACCTGACATGCAAACTCAGATATTTTGTTCGACAATTGGGAAGAGTAGCAGAAGCACCAGAATTGTCTGATGGATCAGATGACAGTGCCTTATTGTTTTATATCCTGCTCATACCTAGGATTGGTGACTTTTATCCGTTGCTGTTCTTTTGAAGGACAGCATGGAGAGATTCTTCCCAGGAGCTAGGCCCTTGCTCTTGAAAACTGAATTCTGCAGATATTGATGTTTGAGTCTTGCTGTGTCTAGCAAAGAAGCTTCCTATATAAATCTGTTTTGGTATTACACCATTTTTGAAGGGTGTTAAGGGTGTAGGGGGACAGAAGTACAAGGTATAGGAAAACATGTATCCCTCACACAACTTTGTAGGTTGTTTTGTTTGTTTTTCTCGGCTTTACCGTTGCAGTTTGTAGCTCAGGTTTGTGCAGTGTCCTTTGAAGTGTCTATTGGAGAGCTTTATTTGGGGGAAATTAGATGCAGAAACAGTTCTGTGATAGTGATGCTTTTTTCCAGTGTGTTTCAGAGATTATTAGAATAGATGTGTTGGGTTTAGAAAAAAAAAGAAGGAAAAAGAAGACCGACATACAGCAGGACAAAAGCAGTGGCTAGCAGTACTCAAGGTCATTTAGTCAGATAAGGTCTGCTTACTTTTGCTGTGTTCTAATTTTTGTACTTATCTC